CATCAAAACGTACAGCTTTTCAACGCTTTATAGAACCATTCCTACGAAAAAATATTCCATTGTAAAAGACAACTGCTTCTACAATAAAAATGGAACTCGGAAATTTTCATATCTTGTGATAGGTAACGTACAATTAATCTTACTTTTTTGAAAAAAATCAGTTTTATTCCACACACAAATTCTCTGAAGTCGATATATTAAAATGATGCTCGAGTTCCTCATTGACAATACATGTTTATATGCAGTCTTTGGAGACCAGTTTTCCCAACAACAGCCATAAATCTGACGAATATAAAACATTTTTAATACCTGGATTTCGTTTGTGACATTTTCTATGAAAATATCCATTTTCTTTCTGCTTTGAACTCTCAGTTTGTTTTCTCTTTGTGCTTTATAACTACTTTCTACTTCATGGATTAGATTTGCCACGGATACAAAAAAATGCAAAAATTAAAGTAACGTTATTATATCCTATATACGTATGGTATGGAAACTATATTTTACCAATAAGCCAGGATTGTAGCTTTTGTTTTCCATAATTTATTTTACAGGATGAAGGAAAAGGTTCCTAAAGCAAATAAGTTGTAAAAGCTATTTTCAATTTTCACTAAATGTATAGTTGGAGAAAACCTTTTATCTTAATCAATGCTGCTTACAGTGTATCGGTAAATAGAATTTCTACTTACATATTTTATGTCAGAAAAAGAGACATAAAAGATAGCAAAGTAAATTGAAACATAAGTTCCATCATTATTCTTTTTTTCCCGATAAAAGGAAACTCAATCAATTGTTTAATTCAGATTTTTGTTGTACAGCTGAGCGTTATTGCTGGTGAAAAATAGAACACCTACAATGACATCTTAAGCCGCAAGCTGAGAAACGACCAATTTTCTTCATTTCTTTTCTACGATTTCTGGATAATTGAACTGTTTAAGTATGTCTATTTCTGACAAAAGCGGTAATTATTGCAATTTTTTTTGCTTAAGAAATATAGGCTTTTTTCTTGTTTTACCATTAAAGATATGCATATCATATATTTAAAAATGGGTTAGTAACATTCTGAATCATTTGCAATATAAATGATATCATTTCGTTGGAAGACTTTTATTTAGGGGTTTATGTGTACATTCATAAGATGTTCTGTATAGTTGAAATGGTATTCACTTTACAACTTTTGGGAGACGTAAATTTTGTATTCTCAACAATGCAATATGTACATATTTTGATGAAAACCTCGAAAGTTGATTTGCCAAATCTGACCAAAAAAAAAAAAAAAAAAAAAAAAAAAAAAAAACCCTGAATAGACATGATTATAAATGAAAATTGTTTGTTTTGAATAAGGTTTTAAACTGATATAAAGAGAAAATTAAGAGACTTTGAGTCCCCTTTAAGGTGTAATATTAGTCGAGGACTTTCGATGAGAAATATACGTTTATAAAAGGAAAGAAAAAGCTTAAAAGCAAGGACAGACGACACCAGGTCGTCAAGCATATAATCAGGAAAGGCAAGATTTGATTTCAGCAGGTCCAATGAATATAAACTTACGAATCACTATACTAGGGTTGATGTCTGTTGTGCGCTCAAGTAGTTCAACTTACTATAACATTTTATATCGTAAAATGGAAAACGTTGGCCTCAGAAACATCACGTTTTTCCCCATCGATAGATATGGCATTGGCTGGTATTAATGCATTTATCGATAAATAAATATGATTTATTTGACAGTTTCCTGTTCTTTTTTCAATAAAGGAATAGACAAGAACTAATGCATTTACCTGAAGTGAAGGAACTTGATTTTCAAAGACGCATGTTTCTATATGTAGGTGTGTTATGGGGAAAACTTCCATGAGTATGTTAAGCAATGTTAAGAAGTTTTGACAATGACTTAACAAACAATGTCTTAATGTCTGACCTCCAATACATACAATGTACTAGTCTCTTAATTTTTATATAAAAATAAATTTCTGAATATTCCAAATAAAACAAAACTTGCTCTTTATAAAGGTAAGACGTTTCAGTTTTGAAAAATACTTAATTAAATTATAGTATTTTATGGCAACGTATTTACTTCCTGAAATAAAATCTTGATTTGTAATAAAAAAAACATTGTTTGTATGTCAACGACCAAGCCTCTAGACAGATATCCATGGATGTCATCTTTCATGCATACAAATTTCAAGTATTGACTTCTTCCTGGTAGTCTTGGAGCCAAGGAAATGTCATCAATTTATCACAGGAACTCAAGGTGAAAATTTCTAATCTGATTAATGAATACAAGCAATGGATAAAAATTGAACGAATTTTTATTTTATTAGAACAGAAATCCTTCAATTAAGAACAATAATATCCTTATCTATTATTATTTATTCTATTTGTTGAAATGTAAAGCTTTTCTAGCTTCAGGCACGTAGCAATATTTCTGAAAAAGTTGGGGGGGGGGGATAATTGACAACTTAACAAAAAAGGGAGATTGTTCAAACTCAAAAATTTTATTTTGTGGGGTGGGGTGGATGATTAGTGGGTGGGTGTATAATGGGCAAACTTTTTCGACAAGAACAATTTTTTGGGATAAGTCTATGTTTATATGGGAGGACTTGTCCATACCCCAACAAAAATTAGTTGGGGGTCAACTGGCCTTTCAATACTTAATTAACAGTAAAACATAAAACTCAGGAAAAAAAGAGAACTAGGCCCCCTGGGTCCTGATGGTACAAGCCTGAGGTTTACAGAAATATTTCAGAGTTAACCTGATAAGTCGTAGAGTTCTAATCTATAGTCCATATATTCTGGCAAGGACAAATTTCTTTTTTAATTCTAGGTATTTTCAGTAGATAAAAACTGCAATCTTTATTTAGACACATTTTGATCAGAATATATTTTTTATGTCAACAGAAGTATAAATAATTAGAACTTTGGTCACTTAAATCACTTTGTGTTTAGAAATCAGGAAGGTCAAACAGCGATATCTTGTATAAAAGGTCGATAAAACAAATACTCCAAATTAAAAATTTGATTGATTAAATCTAGACACATGTAAATGACACTACAGTTTAAAAATAAATATGTTTACCTTGACATAAAACTTCCCCAGTTAACCACTAATTCACTAATTTCTGATCCAGTACTGTGGAATCAATAAAATTCGTGGGGGCCAATTTCCGTGGATTGCTTAAATTTTACAGGTTCGTGGATTCTCTTATACCTACAAAAGGAAGTATGACTTTGTAACCCTAGTTTATTAATTCGTGGAGGATGTTAATTCGTGAATGAGAGGTACCCACGAATTCCTCGAAAATTGAGCCACCACGAAATCTAATGATTTCACAGTCAATACATATACACTGAGTGTAATATTTCATGCGTTTGTCTCATGTTCAACTTCTAAGCTTTAATCTTTGAAAATTTACGGGGCAAACTGTGAAATCGTTATCCATCAATACGATTAATGGGTAATGTCTTTCAGCAATTAGTACGGGTTTTTTTTGTTCACTAGTTCTTGGAATGAAATGGGAAGATGATGACAAGTAATCAGGCTCAAAAGTCCAATCTAAAAAATACAAACTGTGAGTATAGCAAACACAGTCCTCTGAAAAAAGAAGTGGAAACAAATGTCATGGAGGAGCTAGTGTCATGGAAAGTTTTTTCCTCCTACATGTATTTTGATAAACCCTACCCCTGGGGATCATGATTTGAACTTCTATCTCTGTTTTCTACCTATCTCCCCCAACAAGAAAGCGCGGCTTTTCATTTGAGCAAATTTGAATCCCCTTCTCCTACATGTAAAAATGTTTTGTGGCACATTTGGCGGGAATTTACCCAGTGATTCTGGAGAGAAAGAAGTAAAGTCAATGTTAACAGATGGGCTGACAGTCATCAGACGGACATCAAACAAAATGTGATCAGAAAAGTTCACTTGAGATTTCAGTTCAGATGGTTTGAAAAAAATATGAAAAGATTTTTTTGACATTTTGACAAGGAAAAAAAAAGAAGAGACTTGAGCGATTTATAATGGTGGAAAATGAATTCTGTCCTAAAGGTTTTAAACTTTAGGTGAATATAACCATTAGTAAATTGACTAATCATAATTGGTAAGGATATATTAATAATAAATATAAATTACTGTTTTCACAAAATTAGTACCGATTTCTGACCAAAATAAAAGAAATAATAATGAATAAAAAGACAGAATTATAATATCAGGGAATGAAACATTTTGCACTAAAAGTATCATAGATGGAATGTTTTTGTAACGAATAATCAATCGGTATACTAATCAAAATGTTCACAAATTGAAAACAATTCTTAGAATCAGTTTGTGGACAACCAGAAAAGCAGACACTTAAGCAAAAGATGTAATGCATACAATGTAAGCCATTAAGACGGTCTATAATCATCCCTAAAAAGCATGAATTTTGAAAAAAAAGAAAATCATAAGACAAATTATACGTAAAATCAACCAAAGTTCTACGAAGAAATATTAATATAACTTTAGGAAACAGAACGAAAGCATGATTGTTTTCGAAAGGAATTAGGAAGATTTTAATTTTACAATGAGGTAAAAAGAATGAAAACAATAAAGTCTGTTAGAGGAAGTCGGAGGAAACGGCACAATAACATATAACATATAAGACCTAATTACCGTAATTGGCATAATGTATATCATGGTGGTGAGGATTCTGCTGATCTACCTCACTGCATCTTTCTACTTTGATATACTGGTATAAACCAATAGGCAATAGGTATTGTACCCTGTTCTATTTTTATTATCAGTGAAATCTGCGTGATAGCCTTTGTCAGAATGCTGATTGTGTTTAAAATTGACAATTGACTATATTTTGTAATAAAAACACACAGTTCCAGGTCAGATTTTGGTGATTTTTCCGCACATAACTTTATGAATATGGTTAACATGAACGAAAATGAATATTAAAAGATAAGACCATGACTTGAAATTCTCACTGTTCTTGAAAGATAACGGAATCAGGTCAGCATAGAGAACGATGGGTTTAATGGTGAGGACTATTTCCTTTCTATTTTGGAGCTCTATAGTTTTTGCCATTGAAATTTCTGATAATGAATTGGAATGGATTGTACAGAGGGTTCTCAAAGAACAACAACATGATCGTAAGGTCGCTGCTTTGGAAAAAGAACTAAATGTTATAAAAACTGAAATGGAGTCCCTTCGAGAAGTTCAATTTCAGACGCAAACAGAATTGAATATGATGAAAACAAAATTGAAAAACACATTGGATCAAATCAAGGAAAGGGATGATGAAAATGCTAAACTAGTGAAAGAAAATAACTATTTATTGAAAATTGTGGATGACGTTAAAAGTATCAAAAAATATCGCAATGGATCGGAAAACAGTTTTGAAGATAACCATCACATAAAAAGAATATCGAATCCAGGAATGATGGTGGGTTCTCCAATAGCTTTTTCGGGTTATATGACAAGTAACATAGCCAATCCTCACGACAATGAAATTTTCCTGTTTGATCATGTCATCGTTAATTCTGGAAACGGATACAACAAACACAATGGAATGTTTACAGCACCTGTGAAGGGGATATATGCATTCTTTGGTACTGTTTTAACCTTTAGTGGAAAGAGTCTGGAGTCGGAAATTGTTCAAAATGGCAATGGTATTTGTCGCATATATTCTGGAGATGATAGTTTCGATGGCTCAGGCTCCAATATGGCCATAATTCAGCTTGAAGTAGGCGATGTGGTTTGGATGAGGATCCACGATAGATTCCACGATACAGGTGTTTCAGTTGATGGTCCGTGGACGACATTTTCGGGGTTTTTGTTGTATGAAATGGAATGAAATGAATAAAATCATTAGAATTGTATTTTATCTTTAATTTTAAACCACCCACTTAAACTTATTTTGAAAATTCAGCACTTTTTAGTATGATCCTTATGTAAAGAATTTTATCCTGCAACCATCGCTTGCATTGACTGAATGAAGGTAACCTAATAAACCAAAGCTATATTCGGCCAATGCCGAAATTGGCTCGGGTCGAAAACGTGTTAGGGGGCTCGGAAAGCCTCGTCCTCTATCACATTTTCTTACCCTCGCCCAAATATTGCTTATATTTCAAGACAGTAACCAGGTATTTTATATTTCAAGGGTGTGTCTTAGAAATATCAGTCCTTTGATACATTTTATTTCACTCTATTAGCAGCAGGTAAAGAAGTACATGTAACTTCTTTTTAACTGCGTTATGATATACATGCACAATATCTGTATTTGCTTGTTGTGCCTTTAGAAATAAATGTGAAGGCAATATCATTTGATTAAATTATATAAATGCAAATGATCTTAAAAAGCAGCAAACAATTAGATTCTAGTATATCTTAACTCGTTGTCAACGTAAACAATAATTAGAATACAATAAGTACTAGTAAATAATGAAAAAGGCGAGGATAAAAAAAACTAAGATCAATTTAGTAAATCCTATAAACATCACAAAACATGAAAAGGGCAAAACAGGGACCCTTGGAAACACCAGATTGGGATCAGGGAATTGGGAGTTGTCAAAATTAAAGTATAAAACAATGACTTTACATTTGGTACATGCATGAAATATGTGTCAAAATACGAACCAATGATTGGTTGTATTTGCCAAAAAGGTTTTTGTAAGAACATTAATTTTCAAAATGCTGATTTTAAACGACATTTAAAAACACTTTATATCAACTTATTTTAAAGTAGCCTGCCTCGATTTCAAGATTGGTCACACTCAGAATATTCTCTTTTTTACCGAATCGGTTCGGAGACATATACACCATATTTGATAGTGGAATATTTTTACATAAATAGGGAATGTTACAGATGAAAAAGCTGAAATCATCCTTTTTCATATAATTTTGTTGTTAGTTTGACAATATTGCCTTTAGTCAATACTCCTGACTGTTTTAACTCATTAATATCATTGCTTTAATTCAAAACAAAGTATATAAAGGGCGGAGCCCGACAATTCTCTACCCCCCCCCCCCCCCCACTTTTTGTCTTTACGGTAGAGGACTGTTTTACGAGTCATCAAAAGTATAATTTAAAAAGCATTTATTAGCCTAAATTTTTTGGGGAGGGTTCTCTGTTTACCTTTATAATAATTTCAAAATTTATGTATTTGTATTTTATATTTTATTCTTATAAAACAATAGCGTAAATTGACAGCAAACAATCATATAATTTATGTGTTATTAATGTCTGACGTTAAATAAAAACAATCGTCCTTTGGGTAAATTTTATTGTGAGAGTGTGTTAAAATATTTTCCATTTTTCCCTGACTGAAGCACTAAATTAAGTAATTGTGCCGAACTCATTGTTGGATATTATTCCTACGAAAGACCGCATGACACAAAGATAAATAGATGTACATAGCAGACTCTTTGGTTTCTTTTACTTCGAGTTCATTGCGATTTTTCAAGTGGATATACGAACGTGTTTAAAGTTGAAATACTAATGATTCGATGACTGCTCCTTTCCGAAAAAAATAGGAATGATTGGGAAGAGTGAAATGTTTTTCGTTCTGTTTCCTAAAGTTATATTATCAATTCTTCATAGAACTTTGGTTGAATTCGATTATGATCATCTTTCTTCAAAATTCATGATTTTTCAGGGATGATTACATGTACATGTATAGACCGTCTAAATGCATCGCATGTTTAGCTTTTGCGTCTGCTTTTCTGGTTATCAGAAAAGTGATTCTAAAAATTTTGAATAGCATACCTATTGAATATTCGTTGCAAAACAGTTCATCTTTGATACTATAGGTTCAAAATGTTTCATGATATCGCAATTTTTTTTTCTTTTTGGTCAGAAATCGGTAATAATCTTATTTTTAAAAAATTGGCAATTTATTTTTATAATTGATATCTCGTTGCCATTTATTATTATTCTTTTTTTTTTCAATTTCCTATTTATGGTAATATCCACATCAAGTATAAAACCTTTACTACAGATCTCATCTTCCACTATTATTAAATGTTCAAGTCTCTTCTTTTTTATCTTGGTTTCAAAATGTCAGAGAGAGAGAGAGAGAGAGAGAGAGAGAGAGAGGAGAGAGGGGGCACATATACAATGATTCAATTCAAAGATGCTTGGTGATATATTTAACTTAGGCCGTGGTAAATAATATATATATTCTACGTCCCTTAATTTTCCTGAAAGATACCCTCCATTCCGACTGAAAAACACACACATTTCTAAAAACATATTAAGCAAAATATTGATTGAATAATGAGAAAGGTAGTTGTTCTGTGTTATTATTTTTTTTATTTCAGAAATTCATCATACATTTCACACAATTTGCTTGTAGTCCAGGATATTAATGTGAAGTTCAGCCATCTTATATTTGACTAATAGATTCGGTTGTCTAAAGTTTCCAGAATAGAAAAATAGTTGAAAAATCGACAAACATGACTTTGTTTTTACTGGATTTTTATGTAAAACCTAACCGCCCTTGGACGAAAAACAAAGAATTAATTTAGTGTGGCCTTATATGAAGTGCACTATAACTATTGTCAATGAAATAAATTTTACAGATATATCTGCACATCATCAGCTCGAACTAATCAAAACCTGCTTTTCTAGGTGATATTTAGGATACACGTATTAATATTTGCCAACTTTTTTTCATACATCGTTGTCTATGTTTCGTTTGCGTTAAATCATTTACTCAATGCCATTTGCTTGAGAAACCTCGATAAACAAGTGGGTGACAGTTCGGCTTTCATTCTAATTTTTATCCAATGAATATTGATGTAGTTATATCTTTCACTTGACTTCTTGATGCTTTGTAAATGAATGGCAAGCTTTCGATACTGTTAGATGTGACACCTATCTCCAATATTGTCCAATCAATGTTTTCCAGTAGTGCTTTTCTCCAATACATCACTAATGCGTTTTTTTATACAGTCGGAAAACCTCACTCGTTTTTATTTCCAAATCTGTCAGACGAATGATCAAACCTTTCAATTAAAGAAGTTGTTTGTTTTTGGAATTAAGTCTGATTTTCGAATACTGTGATAATCGGGATGTTGAAGTCAATGTAAAAGAAATACATTTTTAAAAAATGCATTCAAAAGATTATGAAGAAATATTTATGAAATATGAATCTTTCCGAATAAAAAAGTTTATTACCATGTACATATCACCTGCTATTCTCATTGTTGGTACTACCGGAAATATCATTGCTTTTTTTATTTTGCGAAGGAATATGTTTCGGATATCTACATATTTCTACTTAGCTGTTCTAGCCATTGCGGATTTAATCGTTTTACAATTTGGGCTTCTCCGAGAATGGATCGGACACATTTCGGACTATGATATCCAAAACATCAGTAATTTATCCTGCAAAATATTTGTATCTTTGAACTATTTGGGAAGTGATTTTTCGGTTTGGTTAATCGTTGCAGTAACGACAGAGCGCTTCATCGCCGTTTGTTTCCCTCTTCGAGCTAATGTTTTGTGTAGTGTCAACAAAGCTCGGAGTGTTACCATCTCCTTACTGGGACTGTCTTTTTGCTTAAACGCGCACTTCTTATGGACAGTTGAACTTACTGAAGTGCGTTTGAATTCAAGTAAAGTGGAAAAATGTACACCTGGACATAAATTCGACTTCTTTCTCACTGAGGTTTGGCCCTTAGTAGATGCGTTCACATATTCGTTCATTCCTACTTTTATATGTTCAGTTTTAAATATCTTAATAATTCGAAGAGTTTTCATTGCTAGGAAATACAGAGGTCGTTTACAGAAATGTAATGCGGGAAGAAATAATTTGAACAACAAATCTTTACCGTCAGAAAGGACGATAAAACTTACAAAAATGCTTTTGGCAGTTTCTTTGACCTTTGTGTTGACAACTCTTCCTAATAGCATTTGCATTGTTGTTCAAAATTACTGGGATCTGGATTATACCAAGGACGTCCTTCGTCAGATTTCAAATTTTGTTTTAGCTAGAACTATTACAGGACATCTGATGTATATTAACCATTCTGTTAACTTTTTCCTGTACTGTGCCACGGGGAAAAAGTTCAGAAAGAACATGGACCGAGCTCTGTGTAAACTACGCCGAACATCGAACCGTTCCTTATCGGATAGTAACATCCCGCATTTAATGAGCAGAGTAAGTTATACTACAGGTCGACTCAGTGTCAATCTTGTCGTATATGATTCCAAACTTTTACACAGAAGAACAACAAGACTTTGATTAAGATAATCAATCGATTTCTATTAGAAGATATACTCAGTAATTTTGTTTTAATTATGTTTTAATCAAATCAACGCGCACTTCTGGTGTTCTTTCTTTGAATAGAATATAAATTGTGAAATTCCAGTGCTTTGCATTCGATTCAATGCCATGTAAATTATTTTTACCTGAACTAATATAAAATGTTTTGCTTGGATATACTTTGCTATGATTGTATAAGTTGCCACAGTTAAGCTGCATATAATTATGCCGCAATCGCATGTCTTAGTGCATACTTATAGCAAGTAATTCCAAAATTAGCTAAAATGCCTCGTCCAATATATGTATGACCTTGGTGATACAGTTGAAAGGAGGATTTTGTTATAAAATGTAGAAAATTACCGGAAATGAACTAGAATTAAAAAAAAATGATAAAAAGATGCAAGTGTTTGAAATTCCTTACTAGCCACTGTCCTTTTTATGGTAACAGCAAACGAATCCCTAGAAGAAATGAGAAATAGGGAATAATTCTGTATTAAATGGAATTACTGTCAAGTAGTTATTAGATAGTTCCTAGCAATGGCTTTCAGTTCCCATTTACCAAACTAGAATGGATCCTCTACACTTG